ACTCGTCAAGCCTCCTTGACATTGTGTGTTTTGCTGCTGCGAATTCTCCTGGCCGGTAGAGCGATCATTGTCCCTGCCGAAACGTTCTTGCTGATCTCTCATACCGCGGCGCGAACCCCTGCTTCGATCCCCTACGGCCCTCATGTTCCCGCGAGGTTGTGCTTTCTTGACTTCTATCGGTTTCCCGAGAATTTCTAGCGGTCCTGAGAGGGTCGCTTCGACGGCTGCCTCGCTGTCAAAGGTTACGAACCCAAACCCTCTAGGCCTACCACTATCCTTATCGATCATGAGGGTAGCATCCACAACGCGACCAAACTGCATAAAAAACTGTTTAAAGTCTTGTTCGGTTGCCTCTTGGCTAACTCCACCGACAAATATTTTACTTGTCCTCTCCTGTTCATCTCTAGGAATGGCGCGCTTCGGGTCGATCTGTTATTTCAGTGAGCTTAGATGTTCCCATAGATATATTAACGGCTAGCAAATTATCACAACTTATTTCACATCTTATTAAGGTGATAGCAAACCAATAGAAAAGAGTGATCCTTACAATTTTACCATCGAGATAATGTTCTTTCACCATCACCGTGTTCACGGTCTTGGGGTCTTTGAAAGTAAGGAAGCCGAATCCCCTTGAACGCCCCGAGGCGCCGTCACGCATTACTGTGCATTCTTGGACTTCCCCGAATTGGGAAAAGTAGTCTTTGAGTGATTCTAGTAGGTGGAACATCTGTGGTCAGATTTTTTTAAATTCTCCCGGAATGGTTTGGGTACATACGATCAGTTGTTTCCCAATTCAGCCCCCCGATAAACATTTTGCTATATAGATTTATTAGTCATAATGCCCCCAAAATAAGTAGAAATCGGTAGAAACGGCTGCTCTAATAAATCAATCAAAGAAATAAGTAGAAAACAGAATAGCGATGCAGGTAAACATGAGATGTGGTAGTGCCGACATATACAACAAGGTGCTGCTGAAAAAACATCAGAGTTGTTGAACATTCCGATTCCTGCGCGGCTAAAACCAGTGAGAGGGGGCAGAATTCTCGTGTTTAGCTTTCACTACCAAGCACTGATCCGACAAGTCTCGTTCGTGGAGCCGCTTGGTTGCAAGGGTTGGGTTAATTGTTGTAATTTTGGACATTTGTGAGGTTTTGAGAGAGGAATCATATAACTCCTTTACAATCGGATTTTTGGGTTGACGGGTTGAAATCTCTCAGGCACACGGCTCACTCAGGAGCATCGTCGGATATGCATTCATGCAGAGCTGAAGTCAGATCTGCCCTGTATAAGACGTAGTTGTAAAATATTTTTGGGACGAGTGTATTTTCTTTTCTGTTTCTGCCCGAAGACCCTCTGCTTCTCTAAAAGTCCGTAGCTAGGTAACGCTGTTCGATACCCCAGAATTCAAGACAGCTGAAGTGTCTACCTCCTGCTCTGTTCTATCAAGATATATCGACAAGAAGCTTTTAGTAGCAGCTGTACTATAGTCGCTTGAATAACTGGCTCGCTTGGCAAGAGCTTCGTCTAAGTCTCATCGACTCCCAATTCCTTCTCACAGCGTGCTGGCTGATAATCCGATACCCTTGTTCTGATTATTGTCTGGTTTTCCGAGAACACTATGTAGGATCCCCTTCCTCAAGACATATCCACCCGATTCCCTTTGCTCTCAAGTATCCACACTTCCGGTCTGAGTAGTTTAACCCAGTAGCAGACCCCATCCGACACGCTTGCACAAGCCTCCATCAATCCCCGGTGTGATGCCAAAGTTTCCTTACACGGGGTTTTGTCTTCAAATGTGGGCCAAGCAAAAATATACGCGTGGATGGGCCAGATCACCTTTTTTTTGTAACGAGAACCTGAGATGCCAGTCGATGACATCGGAGAAATTAACCAGTTCGGCAGCAGCGATCCAAACACCCCTAATGGAGAAAACAATAACTAAACAAATATGATAATTCCCA